GTGCTTCTGTCAATGTATTGATTGCTTTAACCGGTTTGTTTAAGGTTCCTGCAAAATCACTGTCATCAGAATTATTGAATTATAGTTATCAATTTGCAGACGATACTATAATTATTCATTCAAACTTTTAATGCGCGCGGCTCAACAAACTCTCCGCAAAGTTTTTTTAAAAGCCTTCCGCACGTTATTTAAACTAAATATTTGTGCAAGAATTAGGAACGCGTACGAAGTTTTAGCAATACACTTTTTTTACAAATTTTACGCAATACGTATTATATAGATCAAAGATTTTTCGGAGTATCCTAAAACTTGGAAGCCTTATTTAAATGAATCCAAGCAAACTAAAATTACAACTAAAAGTAACGAATAAGAAGTGTGTAAGTGTGTAAGTGTGTAAGTGTGTAAGTGTGTAAGTGTGTAAGTGTGTAAGTGTGTAAGTGTATAAGTGTTACCATGGTTACTCACACGCCGGATCGGAGGAGAGCAGCTCTGTATTCGGGAGCTGCGTACTGATCACCCATTTAGCCGATATGTGGGCTAGTAGTAGTAGTAGTAGCTTCTCCTCCTCTTCTCTGTGTCCTGTCTTCTCCTCCTCCTCTTCTCTGTGTTATGGTCCTGTTGTAGAATAAACTCAAATCATACATCAAGAACCATTTAAAATTGATAAGACATTTTCTACAATTATTAGTTATAAATCAAGAGGCTTGCATATAATGAACATATTGACATGGGTGCAGAGTTGAGTCTGTACGGAACCTAGTAGTTTCAGTTCCTTGTTTAACTTGCCGTACAGCAAGGACATCCACTACTTTAGCCCGGCGAGGCACATAGCTCACTCTACAACTCCATGTCAAATGTTTCATATATACTAGCCAAGTTCACAAGATATATCCTTGTGTTTGAGAAGCGCTCGTTAGAACTGCTTCCTTTCCCCTCAGTATCCCACAGTCTCTAGCAATAAAATATGAATTATTTCTCTATTTTTGGTACTTTCCTTATCTAAAAATAGAATCTCATAGGGGTGGTTAACCATGGTAACATTGTCCATACATTGTGAATATGAAGGTAATTCTACCATAGCCATATTACAGATCACACAAACCAGTATAATAATATTTATGCATTTTACACACCACCTTGAGTCAGCACTTGTTTTAGTGTTTCGGTTTCATTGTACGTGTTATAAGGTTTCAATAGGTTTGTTTTACCTGACACCTTGTTTAATCGATAGTCCAGCTGTCACATGTCACATGTGACATGTTCACATGTGACATGTGACATGTGACATGTTGGGAAACTAAGTAGGAGTCACAGTCTGGCTGATGCTTAGTTTCTCAGCATTACTTGCCGCTTACAAACAATTACACGAAAGTTTTTACATCTAAAATATAAAGTGTGATAATCGATAAGTTTTGTTATTAGTCATCCGCAGCCGGTTATTAATCTGACTAGTACCCGGTTAATAGCTGACTCATAACCGTTTCTTAACCGCTAATTACCGTTCCTAAATCTTATATCCGGATAAAATACAGCTAGAAATATCTAAATATTTCTCTTAACGATCATGATTAATGGATCTCTGCTAAACAGAAAGTGTTATTATGTTAGTCATGGTGGCTGGAGCATATATTAGGGTTAGGGTTATCTGCCCATAATCCGCAGTGTAAAACTCATTATTGATCGCAATTTCCTGATCTGTTCAGTTTTTAACTAGATTTGCGACATAATGAGCACGATTTTATCTTTTCCAACAGTGCTCCTTCATAAACAGTACGATTATAACATTTGTATTTCTCAACTTACGTTTCTTAACTTTTCTTCGCATTTAAATCTAAACCTTAAAATCGTTCCTTATCTTAAAATCAATTAAAATCTAAATTAAGCTGTTATAATGATAAACACAAAAAAATAAGTTTTTTATTATTTATCGAAAACAAAAACGTTATCCAATATATAAAACTGTGTCGTGCATGTTGCGATGTAATTAGATACACCATCATATTTACTGTGTTTAAAAGATACGTTTTTGTAATACCGATGACTAGAAACCCCAACACAGTTGAATTGTCTGTGTCTTCTTACTGTGTTTAATTCTCAATCTGTCTAAGTGTCGTTATACATCGTTTTGTTTGTGCGCAGTGTTCCTGATTCTCTGATTAAGTGATTAGCTGATCCGCCCTCTCGACATGGCCTATAATATTTATATAGACACGGCACGCAGACGTATCTAGATTCATTTATAACACACATAACGCCGGCAGGGGGGGTACCAATGGCATAAAATGGCATAAATGGCATACGTTTTATGGCATAAATGGAAATTTTTATTGGCCAATTCTCCATTTATGCCATGAATTTAGGTCTTCATATTTGACTTTAAATTCGCAAATTATTATTAGTACTTGAATAAGAGACATGTTTCATGCTTTATAACGCTTGGAATGATTGTTAAAGATTCATATGACAAATAAAGAAAATAGAAATGTATTATATCAAAAATGGCATAAATGGCATACGTTTTATGGCATAAATGGAAATTTTTATTGGCCAATTCTCCATTATGCCATTTATGCCATTGGTACCCCCCCCCCCCGCCGGCAGTATCTGAGGAGTTTATAATGTTTATACTTTTATAATGTTGGAACCCTATAATTCTACAGGAGTCTTCTCTCATTATAGTTCTGATAGAGTTATCTGACGTTTCCTTGGTACAGAGAGCTGACTTTTGTGTTCCACGTTGATTTTGAGAGCGATGGTAACCATGGTGATCCTGGTTCTTGTAGAGGCTCTTATCCCCCTCATTCTCCAGAAGTAGAGCACAGGATTAGCAGCAGCGTTTATACCAATACTCAGCACCGTGATCATGTTCCTGAAGTACCTGTGTCCTAGATCCCACCGGAAGAAGTTGTACCTCCCCCCGGAGTACATGTCCACTGCACCTATAATCTCAAAGCACACAGCAGGAATGTTGAACACTACGTATAGAAGAGTGAAGAGAATGATGGTCCAGGTGGCTTGTCTCCTCCGCGCGGCGTGGGACTTCTCGTGAGTCTGCACGTGCACTGCGCGTATTACTCGCGTGCTCATTCCGCAGCTTATCAGTATTGGGAGTAGTGGGGCTATGTACTCCAGCTGTGGGTATATAAGGTGTATATAAGGTGTGTAAAGGTTTATACATTTTAGAAGTGAGTCATCAACAGTTTGAGAATGGAACTAAAAAATTAATAAATGAAAGAAAACAGAAGTCTGAAGGAAAAAATAATTTAAAAAACCTGAATAAAGATTAGGTAGAAAATGATGAATCCTGCACTGTTGTACTCGAACAAATCCCCCAGAAGGCTGAAGCACTGGACGTACTCTTTAAAGTAAATGTACCGCTGCCCCCTCCAGAAAGGCACAGTCCCCTGCAACACCAGGAACCCTAGATAGCAGCACATCAGAGTCACTATCTTCCATGTTTTGAGTCGGAGGAAGGGGAAGAAGAGGGAGAGGGTACGGGAGATACTCAACACAGCTACAAGGAAGATGGAGTATCTAGCAATGATGTTTC